CCAAAGTGTCACGTAATTAATGGACGCCCCCAAAGTACTTGGATATGCTTAATTCACCTCATTATTTACTCCCCTTACCCGATGCGTCATCCTCTGCATATTGAACGTTTTTCCAGGTAGATCCACTAAAAAAAAATGTTGTGATGGCCGAGAGACGCCGGCTGCCAAGCTCGGAGCCTCCCCCAGGAACCCCCCCACTGGAAAAGAGATCAAAACTACAAGAAGAACGAGAACCTCAAGAGAGTCCCCAAGGAGAGGAACCGGATCTCCTAGCGGAAGAGACTCTCGACACAACTCCTAGGAACGACAGAAGGCTGGAAGTTGAGGAAGCTGTCCCGAGTACTTCGGGAACCCTTGGCCTCGTGCAATCCAGCATGGGGAGAAAGGCCGAAGGGTCCCTGGAGTCTTCCTTCGTCGGTGAACACGCGCACTATCAGGAGTTATCGCAAATCGGTGATGGAGCTTATGGAACTGTCTACAAGGCTAAGGACGTATCGAGCGGTCAGGTGGTTGCACTGAAGAAGGTGCGTGTTTCTCTGACTGAGGATGGTCTCCCCACATCCACGTTGAGGGAAATCGCAGGATTGAAGCAGCTCGAAAGGTTTGAGCATCCAAATATCGTCAGACTTCTGGACGTCTGCCAGGGAAATTACCTCCAGCCTCCGGACAGGGGCGAGAGAACTAGACGGACTGATAGACCTGACAAAGGACTTACGTTGTGGCTTGTCTTCGAGCACGTCGACAGGGACCTCGCCAAGTTCATCTCTGCTTGTCCACCAGCTGGAATGCCACCCGCTTTGGCCAAACAAATGTCCAGGGAAATCCTGCTTGGGGTTGATTTCTTACATAGTCATAGGATCATTCATAGGGATTTGAAACCACAGAATATCCTTGTAACGTCCGAAGGCAGGATCAAGATCGCGGACTTTGGATTGGCGAAGACTTACGATTTTGAGATGAGACTGACTTCTGTTGTGAGTATTTTTCGCTCTGGTTTGCCTTAGTTCTTTAGTATTATGAAGAATGAAGAGGTTTTTTTATGAATGGGGAGGGAAGTCTGGGCTTGGATTATATCCCTCATTGCAGAAATACTTTTAAAGAGATAAAATTTGGTAAAAGAACGGGTGAAATCTCTGAGGGAAGAGTAGGGCAAAATGAAACAATCGAGAAATAACTGTTTGACGCAATTCAATCAAAACAAATTTTTTTTTGTTAAATATTTATTTTTATTAACCTTTATTTATTAGCTTTTCTTTATTCTTGAGAGTACTAGTGAGAATAATAATTTCCCATTCAGTAGGATGAAAAATTATTGAGAAGTTTTGACGGGAGAAGATTTTGTCAATGGATTAATTGAAAACAAAATGAAATCGCAAAATCCGAAGTCCAGAGGAAGGCTCAGGGGGATACTCAAAGGGGGAAAAAGGAAAATGTGATGCTGAATTTCACTCGAATGAAAAACGAAAAGTGTACTCGGCCTAATCTAATCAATTGAATTATAAGACGAATAGAAAATTATTAGTTCCATCAGTACTCACAATAATAAAAAAAGTTAATGAAAAAAAAATTTAACAAAAAAATTTTTTTTTGCTTAAATTGCTTCAAACAGTCATTTGTCGACTGTTTTATTTTGCCCCACTCTTCCCTACTTTTTCTTCATTTTTGGCTAATACTTGAGTTGAGTTGACTTGACTCGACTATGAATAAGATCTTTTAATCCTATTCACTAAGTCTCGCCGTTCAGGAGCTATTCGCCAAATAATGTAGAAGTTTGAAGAGGTTGGAGGAGAGAAACCTGAATATTTTTTAAGAACGAGAACAGGGCGCGTATTGTTTTGCATGGGTTCCAGAATACTAAAACCTTACCGTTTCTGACTATCTTATTTATTTATTCATTCATTTTATTGATTCGTATAGACCCAACAGCCAAATGGCCAATGACAGGGTCACTACATAACATATATACATATGAATCAAAAATAAAAACAGCAGACGAATTATGTGTAATCAACAGAGTGTTAATGCCTTGTACTTAATAGATATTTGTACACTTTCGATGCAATGACAGTTATATTATCCGTATAGACATCAATGTCGGTATCAGAACTAACTAGATCGTTAACAGCATTTGTCAGTCTATAAAGCGGCGAGTGCAACCTTAAATTCGAGGGGGGTAGAGGGAGATAGAATAATGCACGTGATTTGGAATGTAAGAGCGGGACTCTCAACGTTAAACGTTCCAATAAGGATTGACAGTCTATTTTGTTCTGTAAGAGTTATGAATTATCATCTGTAAGAGTCATTAATTTTCATCTCAATAATAATGCAGGAAAAATGAATGGTTTCAACAAAGTTTTTCAGAATGAGAATTCAATTGTTGAATAATTTATTCGGGATCGTCATAATCCTCTTCATTTTCTTCTTCGTTTCTCTTTGCGTTTTGCGTTCTTTTTTATTGTTAGGGATGTATTATGTTCTGTTTGCATATATACTATAGTATATATATATTTTTTATAGCACTATGTATTTTTTTTTACAATTGAAAGAAATTCAAGCTGAATATACCCTCTTAAGAGTTTGGAAGCTATAATAAAAAAATTGAAGTATAAAAAAAATATATGTATAGTACATACATTATGTATTATATACATATATACTATGTTGTATATGTATTTTTTATTACAGTAAGAAATGAATTTCTCTTTTTTTGCAATTACTGTAAACAAAAGATTACAATACATAAAAAAATATACATAGACATCATATTACATTACTTGATAAACGGAATAGAAACTTCAATAATCGTTACACCGGATTTTTTAAAAGTGGATTATTTATGAAGAGGTCCTCTGATCCATTTTAATGACCTTCATTATTTAACGACATATTTGGAGATAGAACTGCAAATATTTGCAAATCCACTGCATCACTGAGTTCATTGTATTCCTTTCAATAGTTTCGTCTGTGATTATAGGTCGTTACTCTGTGGTACAGAGCTCCAGAGGTACTATTGGGATGTGCCTACGCTACTCCTGTGGATCTATGGTCAGTTGGGTGCATTTTGGCAGAGTTAAATACACTGAAACCGTTGTTTCCTGGGAGCAGTGAAGGAGATCAGCTTGATCGCATTTTTAAGTGAGTTATTAATGAAGAGGTATATCTCTTCAATTTTATTAATTTTACGTAATGCATCACCCATCTCAATTATCTATAGTTTGAATCATTCCTTGACCTTGTTAATCATGTCACCAAAAAGATTGATGGCTAGCACATAATCTACATTTTCTCCCTCCTGTGATTCGTTTACGTTTCCTCTTGGTTTATTCACTTGAGCACGGAGAACAAAAGTTTCTAGCTTCCAGTGAAACTCTCCAAATCTTAAAACTTTATCAAACGGAAATCTAGTGAGCAAATAAACCTGGATATCAAGTTATTTTAAGAAAATTTTCGTTAACAATCAGATAAAAACACTAATGCTCAGGCATTTTTAAGGGGAGACTACTATAGTTTTGAAAGTCGCGGGCTATCGCAGTGAGATTTCTCATGCATTGAAGATGGATTATATATATCTTAAAACGAATAATTAGTGCAGAAAAATCAATTGTTTATTGTTCGTTTTCCTCGCAGACGTTCAAAATGTTAGAAGTAATTCAGGGTCTCCAATTTTTGAGCTACAGAGGTTTTTTTCTCAAAATTTTGTAAAAAATGTCTACAATAAGAATTACAATTTTTTTTTGAAATTCGAATCCTACGCAGCTAATTTCGTCTTGTTTAAATAGCATTATCTTCAATTTGACGGGGTTTATACGAGAAAACTTTTTTTTTCAATCATTAATTACAAAAAAAGCCAATTTTTTTTAATCTGAAATTTTTTCACCAAAAATTGTCAATAAAATAAAAGGAAGTTGGCGACAATTAGAGTTTGTCTTTCGCCGTAATTCGGCGGTTATTATTATTCTCACTGGGATAAGTACTGAAAATGACCGAAAATTGCTATTATTCATACAATTATCCCCCAAATGAGTGAATATTTTTCAATGTTTTTCAATTTTTGACGATGCATATTTCATAAATTGGTGCGGAAAAAATATCTGCAATTTTGGGACTCAATTTGTAGAAGAAACATTTTGCTAAATATATTAGCTTTTTCAAGCCGTAGAAATTAGAAAACAAACACATAAAAGAACTCACATTGACGAAGTTATCGTTATAAAAATGATTAAAATTTATTGATGTCAATAATTTTTTTTTCCGATTGATCAGAATTATTGGAACACCAACTCAAGAAGCATGGCCGAAGAACGTCTCCCTGAGTTATACAGCATTTCCCCAAAGAATAGCAACACCACTTCGCATCGTGATTCCGGAGCTGAGTCCCGCTGGAATCGATCTCATATTTAAAATGCTCACCTTCGATCCCCACATCAGATTAACCGCATCCCAGGCTCTTCAGCATCCCTACTTTACCACAGACACTTCATAACACTCCTAGCCGTTTATTCAAACAATATATTATACATAAATCAAAAATATGTAAACGTACTTGCATGTACAGAAACTGAATCCCGAATTTTAATTGTAATCGTAAAATGCATATCAATTAGTTTTATTATGCACATTATTTAAGTTCTCTGTATTTATGTATAGACATAGACTATGAATTAGTAATATTAGTGAAAAATGTTTTCACTTTGTGAGAGGAGGTCGAAGCACTCGACGACGTGCGTTCGTTTGTTCAATCGTTAATTAATTGTTAATGATGTTTATAGAATTTTATAATCACGTAAGACTGGGGTCAATGACCCACTTAGGACTGTTGAAAAGTATTAGGATACTTTTTTGAGTTTAACCAGAAGAATCACTGCCGATTTTAGTTTGTATGTTTCTCTTGTATATTCAATTGAGGACGTAGTTCGTTAAGTCTTTGGTTTACAATTGACATATGAGATATTTAGGAAAAATGTTAGAGTAATTTGTTGCTGTACCTTAAGACGTCCATCCCATCGAAATTTGGATTGTCGAAATATTGAAATATATACTATAATATTATTTATAATGATTTTTAAGATTAATTTAGTTATAAACGTGTGGAATTGTTTGCGTACAGTCATTTCTTTGTTGTTCATGTTTGCCATTCTTGCGGGACTGATATGAGTCGGTTTAGATGAAAACGATAGACATCTTTTCTGGGATATTTTATATGACGACAGAAAAGGTTTCTTGAAATTTTCGTTCAACACCATTCATTCTTCAGATATTTGTATGATTGAAAAAATTGAATGTTTGACTCGACCGTTTTGCTATTGCGCTAATGAAGGGTCGAATATAATAACAGAAACTAAAGCCTGTAGCTTGATGGTTTTGTATCCTGGATATATTAACACTGATTCTGAAAATAAAAAAGTTCCATTTTCACACAGTAAAAGTCATTGAGTCGATAAAGACAATCTACTCTTTAAGTTGACAGGAGAAGAGGATTTTATTTAGAATTAAAGAATTTATTGAAGAATTCATTCATTTATCAATAAGAAGAGAGGATTCATTAATCACTGATCAAATGCATATGAGGCGTTCCACGCTATTTCAACGGCGAATTTAGTTGAGTAAGGAATTCGCAAACTTGTGAACATTTATATCTCAATAACTACGCATTTTATGTGGGAACCTCAAAAGGGCTTTATTGTTCGGAAAGGATGGTTGGTATTTAAAAAAATATATCACTCGGAAAAAGTAAATATTATTGCAACTTTTTAAATAAGCAACTAGAAAAACCGTGATAGTTCCACCCTGAAAAATTTGAAAAATTATATGTTGTGGGAAATATTGCTGAGAAAGCTGTGTCAAAATTTTGTTTAATGACATTCACTGATGGTTGAGATATTAATTTTTTTATGAAGTCGCGCGCTGTCCCCGCCGTTCAGTGCGCTACCCAATACAGACGTTCTCAATCCGCTGAAACTTTGAACAACCGTAGCTCACTCAATACTTATTTCATGGTGAAGTATGTTTTTTTTGTCTTAATAAAAAAATAAATAGTCATGAAAACTCTTGTTTTTTTTTTTTAAAGAAAAGCGATTTTGGAAGACAATGGAGCGCTCATGCGGCAGAGACTTCATTAAAAAATTAATATTTTACGAACCACTTAATGTCATTAAACAAAAATTTGACACCGCATTCTTAATAATATTTCCCCCACAAGATAAATTTTTTTCATATTTTTCAGAGTGAAAATCACGAAACTACAACCATTTTTCTAATTGTTTATTTCAAAAATACCAATAATATTTACTTTTTTCGCTAAATTTTTTCTTACATAACTAACCATGTTTTCTCAACAATAAAGCTCTTCTAAAATTTTTGGATTAAATGCATAGCTTTTAAGATATAAATATTCAGAAGCATGTCTATTTGTTATTCACTGGAATTTTACAATTGTTATAACTTTGATAAAAAATTGGACTGTTAATACCATGTTTGGCCCTCCTTCTGTGATATATGCAATTTTCAAAAAAAAAAAAAAATTTTTTTGCCCCCGCTGAAATAGCATAGAATATTCCATATATATGAAAAATTCCTACAGGCGCATTCTACAGGAAATTCCATAGGATAATCCTATCAAGAATTTTAATCACATCACAGAGAACGACTTTTGCAAATTAAATTACTAGTTTTAAGAAACTGGTCAATTCGTTTCAGAAGTAAATTTCTAAAATCCAATAATAAAAACCCCATTATTCCAAGTGGCGATTTCGGAAATCTTTAACCTTTTGCATACATCTATTTCATTAACCCTAGATTGGTCACTCTATGAGGGAATTACAGTCAATTACAATTGACTGGCTAACCGGAAAAATTAAAAAAAATTCGACCTTGTCAATTGGAGTGTCTAAAAAATAATAGTAGTTTTTAGAACAACATATTTCTCATAATTCCTAAAGAAAATAAATTATTTCGAAGAGATGAATTATTTTTTCCCATATTAACCCTTAAGAGGTCGGGCTCTTCTAACATCTCACTCGCTCTACAATGACGCCCTATAGGTTGCATATGGTTTAGCGGGGATTCCCTCACGATGCGACCACTTAAGGAACTTCCGCAGTAAGTATACTTGGTGAAAATTTCGAAATGGTATAAAGACGCAATATTTGGATCATATGTTGTTGAGCACATTCAAAAACTATTCCCAAAATTTCAAGTACCTTGTCCACTAACCTGTCTCCCGGTGGACCTATAATGGAATTCACTTCGTGCGTGCGTTCAAAAGATGAAAGGCAGTGTGGGAAGACGATGTGAATTTTTTCAGATTTTTTGAGACATTTTTAGGAGCTGTATAAAGTTTTCAAAGTTCTTATGGGATTATCCATGTGGAAAACGCGATGAGGTTAACATTTACGATTTTTTCGTGGGAATATTCTAATTCTCATAATGATGTACTGCAACATGTTCTCAATAGGATGAGTATTTTTCCGCATTCCTCAGTTCATTTGTTGCGTAATTGAAAAGTATGAATTTGGGTGAAAATGACGATTTTCAACAGCGTTTAAATGCCTCTGAAAATGAGCCACTTCTCCTGGAATTTCGCCAACAGATAATGCAACTATCTGTCTATAATCTCGGAAAACGATGAGCGTTTCAGTTTTTTTTAAACCCGAGAAAAATGCAAAAGAAAAAATTCTGATTTCGGGGAGTGACAAGTGTTCGGATTACTCAGTCTCATAATGGAGGCCATATACTTGAAATGGAGACGGTCAGTCAGCTGGCTCGACCCTCCCTCGCAAAGGACTACGCCTTTTATTACCCCTAATATATCATAGCATACCTTCTTTTTTGAATCTACAAAAATTATATTTTTTCAATAATTCCGATACGAAATTACTGCCATGGTATTTCCCATTTTATAACGATTCCTGTGAAACTTGATTGACGAAAATATCTTGATTAGAACTGATGTTTTGGTGCATAGCCTGTTATAGATTTTATACACACTTTCAGGTTCTTTGAATTGCATCATCGGACTTCATATTTTTAGGATCTCTAAACACGAATATGTAAACCGTTTTTGCAAGATGTGGTTATTTTTATTTGTTTATAACAATTCAATTGTTTCTAGCGCGATTTCGCGAAAACGGTTTGAGTTAGGCAAAAAAGTCTTTAAAAAAAAATGTACCTCATCCAAAAATACATATTTTTTGTTTTATCATTTTGATTTTTATTTCTTATATTTATCGAGTTATCACCTCTCAAAGCATGTTCTGGAGAGCGGGGACGCCCGCGCGTGACCCTTTGCGCACTCCCATCAGGTCCCAGTGAAAACGGTTAGTAATAGAAGAAAACACATCAAATAAAAATTGTTCCTTATTGAAAAGTAATTGATTATTGTTTTATGATATTTTTCTGTAACCCTAACGGTTGACGAAATAATCTTACAGAAACGAGGAAGATAGCCCCAATTGCCGTTTCACGCGATAAGAAATCCAAATTATGCTGGTCAATTTTTCAATTAATCAAATAGTGACGTAATAAAACTACTAGATCGTTTTCTGATGAATAATTCTCATTAGAAACTTGGTTCTCTTCTCCCATTATTTAGTGGAATACTTGACCGGTAAGACGGCGAGTACTGTATATTGGATGTTCGGTGATGTTGTAAGCGACATTTAGGCAGTACAAGCCGTATTTTCGTTGAATTATTCCACAAAAATATCGGAGAAAATAAAAAGTTTATAATAAAATGATTCATCAGAGAACGGTCTAGAAGATGCATCGCTTCACAATTTGATGAATTGAAAAATTCCCCAACATAACGTGGATTTCACATTGCGTGAAACGGCTACATTGGGCCTATTTTTCCTCATTTCCATCCAACCATTTTGTCAACCGATGAAGTTAGAGAAAAATGTTATAACACAATTACCATGTATTTTTCAATAAAACCCATTTTTTCTTTCAATTATTTTATTCGCTCCTCAACCGTTTTCATTGTAGCCTGAGCGAAGTGCGCGAAGAGTCACGCATGCACGTCCCCGCTCTCCGCGACCTACTTCCAGAGGTGATAACTCGATAACTTTAAGAGACAGGAATAGAAATAATGGAACTAAAATTTATTTTTATTATTTATTATTAATTATTATTTTTAGATATTTTTCCAAACTCGAGGAGTTTCGGTGAAATCCTTAAATATTCTTCAACATATTCGTGTTCAGGGACACCAAAAATACAAATTCGAAGCCTATGGGCACTTTGAATAAATTCACAGTACATATTTTTCAATCCTGAAAGATAAAGTGTCGTCCTTGGACGAGCTTCTTTTCCAATACTAACGAGAATTAGGAAATGTGATACTCATCAGCGAGATTATCGATTAATCATCAAAATGATGTTTGAGTTGTTTTATTCCATTGGGCTAGGGGAGATTCAAGGAGTAAAATTTGTTAGAGATCGAGTTATTAGTTTATTAATTCATAGAAACAATTGGTGAGACAAATCCCACATTCCAGAAGAGATTCCTTTTGAAAATACAGATTAGTAAAAAGATTCACCGTTTTTATTCCAATTACAAAATTCATCACATTATAATCTCAAACTACAGTGCTTGAAGCCTTCATTGATTGATTATTCAGATAATTAGTCAACGAAAACTTCAAGTCTTCTTTATTGCATCCTGGTGATGCTTCTCGGAGCTTACTGACAACTCGCATTAAATTTTGTTTGCTGCTTTCATCTTTCGTAAGCAAATTGTTATATTCACTTATGAGAGCCACACTTCTTTCAGCAATGTCATTGGTGACATGGAGAGATCGGACAATTTTGTAGGCAGTAACATAATCATCTCTTTCCTCCCATGTCATCGGATCAGAATCCAAAAAACTACAATCTATTTTCAAAATCTCGAAGAATTTGATTGTATTCTTTGTAATGGAGGAATCTAGGCTCAATTGTTGAATTAATTTTGAATCATTAATACCCGTTGTTCTTTTTTTTATATCATTGTTGAGCGCAGGACGAGATTTTATAGCTTGGCACATCTTTCTCTTTAAATCTAAACTTACGCTTTCGTCAAAAAAAACCAAAGCAATCAACTCCTCTGATAAATACCAGAGATGCTTCAGAAATTTATCGAACACGGCTTTCCAGACCTTCGAGGAGACAGGGCTGGAACAATGGGAATTGGCTGCTAACTGTTTCAAGAGATGTAAATCGTTTTTCGGAGCTGTTGCTACGTGAGAAGCTGTGAACCAGGTCTTCTGATAGACAAGAACGATGAAAATGTACGTGTCTCTGAGACCTTATTTTTCGTGGGACGTCAGATGAAACTGGTTTCTGAACAGGAAAATTTTCAGCGAATAGATAGCTGTGGACATCTACCGAGCATGATGAACGGGACCCAAAGCTCGAAAATGATTTCCTCTCGGTAA